AATTGCACTCGGGATAGTTTTACCGTTTTTAAAAACATTTTCACTAGAGCATTTTCCATACATTGATCAGTACTTCCCGAAAGGTCATAGCTATGTGCGATATATTTGCCTTTACTAGAAGCATATGTGGTTCAAATTTCAACAAAATCTTGTTAATTTACCCAGTTTAGATTATGGTTGATTTTTGTTTATAGCCGCATTGTAGTTTGTTTATTTTATTTATTTCATTGTAAAAAATTACCTGTTATAAGATAAGGAACATCTCGAATTTATTTGCGCAATATTTGAAAAGTTAATCTCATGTTTTTCTCCGGTCGTGATAAGAGTAGCGCTTATCGCAAAAGTTAATTAATTTTGTAAACAGATGTTGCTGTAAGTGCGCGTTTAGATAAAATAATTTTATTTATTTTAACTAAATAAACAGGAAAAGGCATCGTTTGGCCGTTGGATAGAGTCGGGCCATTTGTTGGAGCCGTGCTCCCAGCTTCTCGGTTTTCGGATGTACCAAAGCCAAGTCAATTTGTGTAATTATAAGTTTATTGAAGACATTTTAGTTGTTAAATTAAGAGATTTTAAGTACGTCGTGATTGAATAGTCGAGTTCGAGTTAAGAAGAAGTTTTGTGTCACATATTCGGAGAAGTGGAGTCTCTGAAGCGAATTCAGTTTAGTGTTTGCGGTTTTTTTTGTACGCGTCTGTTTGGAAATCGCCGTGTGAAACTGGACATTATGACATTACCATGATATAATTGAGACATTTAATCTGTTTCGATCGAGCGGTTGTAGCGTGGTATTTGTCGCTGGCACTGTCATGTTAATTGTTCTTGTGAGAGAGTTTATTTAAATTGAGCTAGCTATTAATAAATAAGAAAGTTGATGCAGGATGCTCGCAAAGTGCGCAGTGTGGAATGCTACCTATATGATTGTGGTACATGGACAACAATGAAAAGAGTATCAAAGTTCCCGTGTGAGATCGAAGGGACTTCAGCCCATTATTGTGTGGCAGATCAGTATTTTATTAGCCACTGCTGACTTTACTATCAATAAGATCTTGTCGACGCCCGGCCGGCGCCCCATTCACCTGCAATTCGCGTTTGCAGTCTTTATTCTACCATCAGTAAATTCTTGTCGAGGGTTCTCACATTCCTTTTGGCAGTACCCACTTCCGACGTCCCGTTCACCCGCTAAAAACCCTCTACAAAATAGTACATTGCTCATATATCGAGCTTCTATTGGCGACACGTGAAAGAGAGACCGCGATTCTAGATCTAAGAAACTTTCGGCCGCCCGAAGTCGACTACCCCTCGAAGACACTCGCCCAAGAAGATCACCACCTTAGTATAACACTCGGGGATGGCGCCCAGATGTCGCCGACCCCACATCATGTACTTCCCCGTCCATAAGATTGTTTATTACACGGCCCTGGTAGATACATGTACACTACTCGTCTTATTACAAGCGTTCTTCTACGGACCCGTATTGGCTACCAGTTGGAGAAAGGAGACCAATCACAGAAACCACAACAAAAGAACGTCAAATGGGTTAGACTCCCGAGTTGACAAAAAAAAAGTTTGTTAAGAGACGTGCTGGAAGAGACTGTGGACGAGAAAGAGAATAGAGGAATGAGAGGGATGAAAAAGATATATGATGTAAAGGAAAAGAGAGAGAGGGGTACGTAGCAATGAAGAGGAAGGTGCCAGATCGAACGGAGTTGAGGAAGAGCACTGGTACCTGTGTAGTTCATAAACTAATGGTGATGAATCACTTGTGTTCGTACGGAAGGTTAGATAACGTGCAAATTGCGACATTTATTTATTATCCCTCTCTTGTTCTGGGCCCTCAACAGGCTTGCGAGTGTGTATACTGGGAGGCGGAACAAATATAAGCTAGCATAACGAGTCAACGATGTAAAAGAATGCCACAGAAATGTATTGTAATGAATCACCCGTTTTCGTACAGGAATTATATTAGAATGAACGAACTCGCCGTCTATTGAGGGAAGTTACCAGCTTTCATGATCACCCGGTATATGAACGGGTATTTGGGCGTTTTGTGGCTAAGAAACCATAGCTTATTTATTTCTTCTAGAACTGAGAAATATATGGCAAAAGGAATTTTCTAATTTGTGCAGCCGTTTAACCGCTGATAAGGAAAACCAGCTGCCGGACGTAATTGGTTTCTAATTGTTCCAGTAGAGAACATAGGGAAGCATCCGTTAATTAATTATTAACAGATTTTAGTTTTTCAATGTTGCAAAAACAAGTAATAAAACTGCAAGACCGTGCAGGAAATTCCATTATCGCATATCTTTTGCGATTGACCCGATATTCCACGGAACAATAGGCATTACTGGGAATTTCTGCCCGGTCATTTGTGTGAGAATAAATACCGCTAGCTAATCAAATGTGTTGCAACAAACTTCGTCTGATTGGACTGTTGTCTAGTCTCAAATGAAGCGCGTTTAATTAATTTGAATTTCAACATTAGTCCTAAATGTGTAGGACGCCAGGGAGCCTGGTAATAAAGAAGTTTTAATTTTTGAAAGTCAAAACTGGAAGATTGAACCTTGAGTTTTAAAGTGTGAAGAATCTATAGCATAAGCTTCAATTTTGATGTTTCAAGCTTAGACGTTGGATCTGAAGCACGGATGTGAAGCTAAACATTTGAATGTAAGGATTAAAGCTGGGCAGAGATTATCTGGAGACAAACAAACGCCCGAAAAAATGAGAACTGCACTTATCTTCTTGTAACGGGTTATGCATGGGTTCCCTATTTATATGCGTGGAGTGGTGTAATCTTAATACAACAGAAGCTATATAAGAACATTCGTCGTAAGGAGAGCCAGCAGTTCTCGTTAAAGACCTGATGCCTTCTAACCTACGCTCCGTCGGGTTGCATAAGAGACAATTTTCACCAAAAAGGGGTTAATAGCTCTCCGATCGCTTTATTAAGGGAAGATTTAACATCAGCAAACAAGCAAATTCCATCAATAAATCAGGGGCATCCTCCGTGGAACCATGTTAACAAGACGAAGTACTTCCGGGGGTAGACAAATTTAAAACACGGAAGATCCTTGACCAATCACAAAGCAACGTCTACATCGATCGAGAGATTTACCGGATCGGGAATCGGTTGATAATTATTGTAGTACTTTCTCTACATCTGTATCGAGAGAATTTAATTGAAGTTTTGATTTATCACACTGTAATCTATTCCACAAAGGTTATTTGTAGAACTTTGGCTCTGATTCTGTAAGTAGATGCTCTTATCTACCTTGGTGAAACATACAATTTGATTCTTCGACGTTATCTGCGCGTGTGGCATGTAAAACGCCCATAAACGTGTTGTGTATCTACAAATGTACAAAGCATACGTGTTAGCTAGACGTTTGAAAAACATGTTCAGTCTGAACAGACGCTCATTTCTCACTGTTAACTGTATTTTAACAAGTTTCCATAACGAACATTGATGCGTAGGCTGCGTTGGGGAGTAAAAGCTCGCGATCGTCTCAAGAAGCAAATTTATTTCGCACAATCTACTTCAAAATCATCGCCAACCCGTACGAGTTTATACAGTCGACCTTGCGGCGTTAGATTGCCGCGTAGTACAGAGTTAATTAATAATTTCTAATAACACACACAGGTTTGAGAGAAACTAGTTGCGTAATTAATGTACGTAAGTACCACTTCGAAACTGATGCGGTAGACATTAAGCGCTTAATTTTGGTAAAGGGAGTAGCGAATGATGAACAACGAGGCGCAATAACCCGAGACAAAATGTGAGCATACTTCTGTCGCCGAACTTTGGCCGTGTCTGATAGATATAAATAGGGGGGACCGCTCTGTAAACTTCTCCAACTGTTACAAATCACGCAATAATAAAGTTCATAACCTTCCATCCCGAATTGGGAGAAATATGAAAAGTTAGGTCGAGGCAATATGTTGTAGTGGAGTTACTTACAGTAGGCCAATAAAACTTTGAGCACTGTGTAAATCGCTAGAAGTTTTGATTGATGAACTCATGCATTACAAAAAACTACAAACCTTACGCAGATCGTTACATTTTTCAATGGAGGTGTTTCGTGTTTCACAGCCAATCGTTTCTTGTTTCGTTTCAGATTTATTTCGTGTAGAAAGACAATTAATATTTGCTAAGGGAAACTCCTTCGGTTTCGCAACTAAAATTGTAACACATAAAGTATTAGCGTCGAGAACTTCTGCATGCGAAAGCTTGCCTTCTAAAGCTTTGTCATTCGATTCATTATTAACACTCAATGAAAGGCTTTCGCCGCTAACAGACGCCGTGTCAAAAGCATCACTCCTCCCAGTCCTCTTCGTTATTCTATTCGCGACGTGCTTGGTTTTTTTGTAGGTTTCCTGATGTTTATGAATCGTTTTCGGGTTAGGTTCGGTGGTGATTACCGAATGCTTTTCTAACGCGCGGCTCCTTTTAGGAACCGCACCGTTCGATTGCAACGGCGGAGCGCCAAGTGGCACGGGCGATCGGCTGAAGATGCCGCCGTCGGTAGGTTGACAGACGCAGGCTAGCATTATTGTGATATATTCCCGACTATAAATTCCTCACTTTCTTTCTTATCGTCTTGTACATGTCGAATACTTGTTGCCGATTTATGCCGAAGTGACGAAATAAATGTAACATTAGTATCCTAGGCGTGTACGGAGGTCGACGGTGAAGCGCCACCTGTTGGTTCGGCTCTCCCTGTTTTAACAAAAATTTGGATTAACGCAATATCGGAATTGTCATGTTCATAAATGGAGAGCAACGCCCTTCCTGTATAGCAAAAAAATAATGGATGCGATACATTTTTTCTAATGCAAAGAGATTAATGGATCACAGTCGAGGCGCCATACTGCGATCGTCACAATGCGGAAAGAGGATTTTCCACGCTTGTTCATTACATAACGAATGATCTCGTTGTTAATGGTTTCTTGTAACATAAAAGCAGTAGCTAGCTGATATTTTTCGGCGCGTTGGAGTATCGCAAATCTACACGTATAAATTACACTAATAGGTAAACGTAACAACAGAATGACCAAAGTAAGGTCGTTTCTTTTTATGAACACTTCAAATTGATAAGATGTGCCAAATAAACGTTGGAGTGACTGGAAAACATCAACAATTAATGCAAAATAAAGAAGTTTTCATTGGAATTCAATTCCTGTAAATATTTAACACGTACTTTTAAATTTGTTTGATAAAATGTCAGTCAAAGTTGTGCGTTGTAACATTTTATTTTAAAGATAACGCGTTTTATTTGCTTCAGTATAAAATGTAATGAGCAAAACAGCTCGCATCACATTCTTGTATATAAAAAAAGCACATCAATTCATGGAAAATTGTGTAACTGAATAATTACCGTCTTCGAAAAGGTTTTGATTTTTCAAAATTTGAATTTCAAAATACAAGGTACGAGAACAAGCTTCAAAATTAGCGAAACACGCTTGTATAAAAGCAAACCATGTTTAGAGTCGAATTGAGCTCGAGCAGAAATTTTCCGTGACCTCCGTATATTTGCTCCAATTGATGCTGCTATGGGCAGGAGTAACTATGACTCTCTTCAGAGTTACGAACGTGAGCCGATTGAACCAGAAAACTTACTAAGTCCTCTTATCGTAGTGGTGCATACGATAAGGTTTGCACAAGTCATAGTTTCGAGCAGCTACCTCCTCGTAGTTCCCACCGGTAACCTTCCTCGAGTGGAAGGGCTAAGTGCTGCGAAGGACTTACGTCCTAGGTAAAAGGAGCTAAAGAAAGAGACGCGCAACCCTATCAATAACACCCAGTTTGTCCCGTCACGTACTTGCTGTTACTTCTCGATCGGTGTTATGTGTTGAAGTGCGGGAAGACGTTTGAGACCCGAAGCAGAGATGCACATGCTCGACTGCAGAGCCCGATCGGTCTTGTCCCCAATGTCGGACAGAGTTCGGTACGTGCGCAGTAATGCCCCAAATAAATTGCTAAAAAAATTCCTGTGGCAATGCTCGGTAATACTGGTATCATCCCCTCACAAAAGCTCACTCTTCGCATACTCCCCTGCAAGGAGTATGCACCACGTTTCCCTTGGAAAGTTCGCAAAATATCGCGTTTAGAGCACTCCCAGGTAAAATTGCCATAAAAATATTGACTTTGTAAAATTCGCCCCGGAAAATTGGCCTTGTGAAGTCGTCCTTTGGCAATTCTCACAAGAAAAACTGTTTCCATAATATTGAGTATAGACAAACCGACCCTGCCGTTTTGTCGCCCCAAATTTACCCGGCTGCTAAGAAGCTTGCTCCGAAAAAGAAATTCTTGTAGCAAACCTTGATAATAACGACACCCAGAAAATTCACTTACGAAAGCTAGCTCTTGGAAAATTCCCCCTGAAGAAACATTCGCAACAAATTCGCTATCCTAAAATTATTCGCCAATATTCACCTTCGGAGAGTTCCTTTTGTGGTCAAATTGCGCTGAAACAGGAATTTTTCGTCGTCGCCGTATATTCTCTTCCGGACAGAGGGGAGTGTTTTCTCCACTCCGCTGGAGCGCCTGGTGCTAAAACGGCCTCCTCGACCCTCTGAACAAGGATGGAGCGTATACACAGGGATACGAGGACGCCATAACTGGGAAGTTCCCGAGCACCATGAAAGAGCCACTGGCCTCTCCTAGCGGGCTCTGAACCTACTTGGGAAATAAATTGAGTAGGCGCAATTGGCCTTTGGTGTGCCTAAGTGCCCCTTATGAAAAGAATAGGATTCTTCAATATTCATTATTCAATCCAAAATATATATTTCCAGAATCCGGAATCTTCGGGAGAAAATCTATCGACCTATTGTCTTCAAAAAAAATTCTCACCCCTTCCCCACCCCAATGGAATTGAGTTTATGAGAGCACTAAAAAGCTTTTAAAGGCCTTTAGATTATAACAGTCTTCAAGAGCTTTTAAGAGATGTAATAGTGTTTAACCATTCATGAGTTTCCAAATGTTTTCCCCCAAGAGTTTTTGTCCATGGGTTTTCAAAGGTTTTCTAGAATCTCTAAGGTTCTCCAAGGATCTTATAAAGGCCTTTCATTGGTTGTAGAGTCTGTGAAAGACCCTAAAATCGTTTACTGAGCTTTAAGAGTTTTCAGAACGCATTTTCCAAAAGTGCACCAAAGAGCCTTTCAGAATTTTTTCGTAAGCTTTTGAATTTCTCCGAGCCTTTAAGAGCGTTTATGAATTTGTGAGATCTTCTAAAAGTCTTAAAGTAAAGATATTTAGAGCCTCCAAAAATATTTAAGAATTTAACCGAGCCGTTTTTAAGTATTTCTTAATATTTATTTAACAGTTTTTAAGATCTTCCAAAGCCTTCGAAGTGCTGTGGCGAATCGGAAGATAAACACACTTAGTTTCTTTCAGGCTTAGACTTCCTAGATGATAGCGTTAGGACCCTATATCTTACGTTGTGCCCTGTAGGATTTTAATTTAAAGCACAGAGACAAGATAAATTAAATACATGATAGGAAATAATTATGTGTATTCCTTAATTAACATTTAGGAAATGAGCTGAAACCTGAAGGAACAAAAAACCTAGACCTACCAAGCAGGTTCTACCTAAATCACAGTTGGGGTCGAGGTTAGGGTACTTCTCTTCCTTTTCTTTACTGTAGATGGGGCTTCGACGGGCCTAACCGCCACCGACTTCTATTGACTTTGTATACCATTTTATGTTTCTCGGTAAGTGTGAAGTTGAATTCCCACCTCTTTTTCGTCGACTGACCCGTAACTTGGGGTCTACTACGAGCGCACGGACGAGTGACAGTACTCAGGAACGATTCGCCACTGAAAAGCGAACCGGTATAAAGGGCTGAAGTGGCCAGAAGTTTACAGAACCAAAGTTTAGGGCTCAATTCTGGCCTCACTGACGACTGCAGTAAACTTTTTGAAACTGCCTTAATCCAGTAAAAAGTACTTTTGGAAATTAAGACCTACATTCTCCACATAGGTGCATTCGTTTCCGAAATATTCGTCCCCAAAATTGCCATTCTCAAGCAAAAAAAGCAGTAAGTAGTAGAAAGCTCGCCCCGGGATATTCGTTCCCTCAAAAAATCGCAGGAAACTTTCGGATCGTGCGGGTTTACCTTGGGAGTCAGTTTTGGGACCTTGACGCCTTCGCCAGCGAATTTAATGGAACCAATTGCGGGTTGAACCAACTTCAACCCGATAAAAATATACGCCGGCGATACAGTTCGATGTTCATAGCAAATTTTCCGGGATAGAGCTTATTCCTTTTATTTGCAATTCATAAAATATTTTCTGTTAAAGACGCGCGTAGTAGAGCAACACCGATCCTGGACCACTTTGACCTTGAGTTCTGCGCATGCGCCAACTCCAAATTTGATACTACTGCGCATGCACCAATTCCAAGGTCATTTGAACTACTGCGCGTGTGCTAAGCCATTGGGTTAGTCACCCCATGGGTTATTGCGCTCGGTGTTGGGGCCAGGTCCTGCATTGAAATTCCCATACGCGTGTTCAAGGTCATTTGGGGTCTCAAAAGTGAAGGCCATGTGTAGGCTTGAAACTCTGCTCAAAGTCACTAGAAGGTCACGAGAGGTTTGAAACTCTGCTAACAGTCACTAGAAAAGTAACTAGGTTTGAAACTCTGCGTCACTCGAGAGGGTTGAAACTCTGCTAGTGATATAGGGGTCGATTCTAAATCAAAAAGTCACTAGAAAAGTAACTAGGTTTGTAACTCTGCTGGCGAGGTTTGCGCCTGTGCTAACGTCAAAGTCAAGGGGGTCGAGGTTTGCGCTCGAGATAAAGTATCGGAGGTGGCCGATTCTAAATTACACTATATTCTAAATATGACTTTGAAGATGTGGTGGGGATTGACGCTTATATAAGCCTCTATATGTTCGTTACAAGGTGTACATGTATTAAAGATGTCGTGGATGGCATATGCTGAGGAATCATTGGCCAAAGCTGTCGATTTCGTAACGGCCGTGAGACGCCTTAAGCAGCATTTTTCTGCATTAGCATTTGATGCAGAGCACGAGGCGATATATGGACGCGGTGAATATAGCCCAGAGGAGTGCCAAGCTATTGCCGCAAAGTATGAGTTAGGAGAGGCAATATGTGACAGTTACTTAAGCTATAAAATATGTGACGAGTGTATTATCCGGAAACTAAGGGATGCAAAGTTGGAGCAGTTTAGTGAACAGTTGCAAGCGTGGAAGGATGAGTCTTCAGAATCCGGTGAAGAGTGTTAAATTCGATGAATCCAATAATAGAACATATGTAATGGTGACGTGGCATTTTGCTTACTGGGCAGCAAGGAAAGGCCCATGGGAAACTGTAGCAGTCGATAGAGTTCGATTCCGACGTAGAATCGAGCAATATCATGCAATAATTTCTCCAGTATTAGAAGCCGATCATCGTTCGGCAATGTATCGCTGTAGATTTCAAGGTCACGAGTTGGAAATATAAGGGTGAGCGGCAGCGATGGTTTCAATCAGTCCAATAGTGTTCTTGAAACAGTTAAAATGGATCTTAACGCACTCAACACCAGTACATTCTGTAAAGTATTCAAAAATGTCAAGGACTTGGAAGTGGGGGAGAAGTTTAGAATTGTGAATGCCGACACCATAAATACAAAATATGGTGATCGAATAGTATTGGAAACTGAAAATTTTAAATGTGTGCTGCCATTACGATTCTATGAATATTTCAAGGAAG